CGCTGTACTGTCCATGCCTCTAGGAGGGATTCAGGGGTCCACTCGAGTTCCTCTTTGGTCATTTCCTTGACTGCCTCTGGGCGTCGGAGAGCATTGATCAACATCCTCGTGTATCTATCAGTGCCAGGGGGGGTTCATAGGAGCCATTCAGGATTGCATCAGCAGCAGGAGTATCAGCAAGGGGGCCGAAGTCTTCGTCCATTGGGGGTGTTGTGAAGGGGATTCAAGGCATCGCGTCATTCGAATTTCACCTTCTCTGGTGGCAGCAATGCCCATATCATCCTGAGTACTGCATTCCACGATTCTGGTGGTGTCAGAGACTGGTTCGTATTCCGAGTAGAAAAGTTTCATGGTTCGTTCTCGCTGGGCACCTTTCTTGGTGAGTGCTCGTTGTCTTCTAGCCATGTCCCTTTGGCGCTCTCGTTGTTGCAGCTTTTTGAGTTCCTGGGCACTGGTGGTACCATATTTCTCGACCCGGGCTTTGCACAGAGACTGTCGAAACTTCTTCCGTAGAGACGGGGCCTTTTTCTTGGCCTTGTACCAGTCGGCGTTTGCCTCGGCTCTTCTTCTTCTGGCTTCCTCCAGAGTGATCTCCCACGCATCGGTGTTGGAGCATCGAGTCATTTGTCGGCGGAGTTTCTTCCTACTGATTTTGAGTTGGAGTTTCAGCTTCAGCACACTGTCCCAGAGTTTCCTCCGGTTCATTATGGTCTGAATCTCAGGGCTCCATGGGACACCTCCTTTCCTGCTGTTTCTCATAGATCTTTCAACCATCAAGCGTACCTGACGGTTGATGGTGGCAATTTGGTGGTGTAGTCGTTGGATCCTGTTTGTTTGTCACAAAGATTAGTAGCTAGTTGTTATTTTTGTCTACTGCGCCGAGGGCTTGCTTTTACTTCACTCAGAATGACAAGGGGCGCTACTGGCCCCTTGTTCGAGTAGAAGGGTCACGGGCACGCTAAGGCCCTTAAGGGTGTTTCATTCAATTTTGGTTTCTGTAGGAGTGCACGCTAAGGCCTTCCTTGTAGTGTGGCGCGCTAAGGCCATGTTCTAATGTTGTTGGTTGGTTCTGAGGAGGTGGTTCGAGGGATGGGAGATGGAAAGGCTAGAGTCGTCCCGTAGCACACCATTGATATAATCGTGAATGCCTTCTATCTTCAGTGATTTGGTGGACGCGTCTAGTTTCCCTATCGCGTATAGTATGTATCCCTTGGAGCCAAGACTGTTTGTAGGGCTTGGATTTGGTGAGGAGAGAGATGAGTGAGTGTTTGAAGTAGTTGTGATAACAGGAGGGGAGTCCCCTGGTACCTTTGATATACTCAGTGGCAATAGCTTGGTGTAACAGGTTGAGGGCTAGTTTCTGACGGGGCATTTTGTCGTCGTGGAGAATCTTGTTCCGATGTTCCCATAAACTCCAGGCCATCATGTGGGTTTTGAAGTCCAAGTGGTACAGTGATGGAGTATCCTTCGCGTTTGTAGCAGGAATCCATATACTGGGACAAAACGAATGGAGGGGAGACCTTCCAAGAATTCTTCCATCCGATTCGGTCTTGGGATACGATAAGTTGAGTAAGGGTGGCATCCCACTGGGGGTTGGGGAGCAATGGGAGGGAATTTGCGCCAACTGTTCAGGCGGTTCAACTAGTGGCTATGTGATGGTCAAGGGGGGTGGTGAAGTCTCTCCAAAAGCAGAGGCTAGCTCTAGCAAGTGAGCGCTCCATACTCATCAGATCCCTCAGCATGGCATTGTAGGACATGAGTAGGTGTCTTTCTGGTGCCCACAGCGTGTGCAATGGTCATCGTCCTGTTTTTGCCAGTGTTTGAGGTAATGACCACTCCACTAGTTCTCAGAGAGCGTGTTTTGTTACACCACCTGCGCATACGCCAATGGTAGAGTCTTCATCAACTTTCCGCATAATTCCCAATCGACCAGCTGGAATGTTTCAAGGGACAGTCTTGCAGGGGCAAGATAGTGGTCAGGAAGTCAATATTCTTCAATAGCAGGGAGGCATTTAGGTCTAACATGCTGTCGGGTGGTAGCAAGTTTCCGCTGATTTCAAAGTGACACAACCTTCTCCCCATGGCGTGTGGAGGGAGACCCAAGTGGGTTCGCATGGACAAGGCTGTCCAGTACTTCTTTGTTGTCCATGCGACACATGGGAACTTCCAAGGGCTCAGCTCGGGTCTTGTGGTCATCCATATGACCCGTCGATTGTTCGTCTCAAATGTTACATGCTTTCTGGATAGATCAAGGCAATGGTCAAGTCAAATAATTGCTTGTTGGTCTGGACGAATCCATTGTCAAACCAACAGTAAGGACAGATGAGCATATCGAATCCAACCGTAACCTTCCCAGTGGCGGTATGATCCGATCAAGAGAGTGCGATGCCATAGCAGAATTATGACTGATTGGTACGATCAGACAGATGCCAGAAAGTCAAGATGTGACAGAAGTCCAGGTAATGTCACCGATATGTAATGGAGCCTGGAACGATGTTGATCATAGTCAGTTCCTTTGCTGGTTTGTGCCTACTATGATAGAAGCAGAGGTGCCAATTCTGTTTGAGAGACCTCACTACAGCCACACAGGATCCTTCACGGATGCACCAGCAAGATGTTGCCCTCCATCTGAGACTTGGAAATGATCAATAGCCCATTTTAAGTCGGGAGGGAGGTGGGTGATGAGGCTCAGGAGGGTATCAGTGGAATGTGGTGGAGTTGGCGGGAGGTGTGTACCAGTGTTCCGAAGTAGGAGTTGGGTGGAGTTGTTCCCTCGGAGGACACTTGCCCGAATGAGGTCGGTAGGAGTATCAAGGGCTGTGACCAAGCCGTGCTGGTGATAAGTTGATGGTGATAAGTGATGTGGTTCCCAAAGAGTGGTATTGGTGGCTGTGATATGGTAGAGGTTTGATGATGCTGGGTGAAACCACCATTCCCAAAGCGGGTCCTGATCGCAGAGCCAAGCACCCAAGGGTTTGAGCAGTTCTTTGCTGCGGGATCAGGGATAATATATACCTGGGTCAATGCTTCACGCCATCTATCACCCATGGATTGGGTTGGTTGTCTGGAACGTGGCCAATCAAATGGAGACTCACCGGAAGGAGGGTCCCTTGTTTAAGGCATGTTCCAGCATGTGCTTCCCATTTGCAGTACATAGTTCTGATTTCCATACGACTTGCTTGTACATCCTGATTTGGTTGAACAGTCTCAATTCACGGGGGCTGAATAAGTTACTTGCAACCAGATCATCCATAATGGTAGATATCTTGTTGTCGACCCGGGGAGAGTGAGGGGGTGGGGCCCACAAGAGTAAGGTTGACAGAGAGAGGTCACGCCAAGTTGCAGCCATCCAGCTTGGGGTGACAATATGTTCCCAATCAGAGTAGTGTAGTTCCCAGAATGGTTTAGAAGAACCGATTTCCAGTGTGAGATCGTCCACAGTTGTGTTCAAGAGACTGTTGGTGAGGGTCTTCCTGCCATCATGTCGCATTAATGCATGGACATGTTCAGTTAAGTTGTACAGCCCAAAGATCATCCACACCCAGACCTTGGATATTTGATGGGACCATACACCAGAGCCCTGGGGAGCTTGTTCTGGACCTTAATTTTGTGCAAGCATGAGTAAGAATGGGGGCGCATGAGTGGGAGCATTGCTTTCTGGACAGGGTGGTAGCCATCAAGGGATACTCCAAGGACTTCATGATGGAAAGAAGAGAGAATGCTGTTGAGGACAAGTACATAGACAGTCATTCTTGTTGAACCTTCTATCCTCACAGAACTAGCCTCCACAAGTATGGCTTGTGCACCGTCAGTATTTGACATTGAAATGTGCCACGGGACAGAGAGAAAGATACCAAGCTGCTTTTCTGGGCCTTCGTGTTATTCAGAGAGTCCTCTTTATGGGTCGACCGGGCTACTCCAAGTCATCATCGGAATCCCGACAAGTTAGGAGATCCAGCCGGTAGTTGGCATCGACGGGATTTGTTAGGTCACAGTCCTTGAATCACATTTGACAGTCTACGCCCCAAAACCAACTCTTCTTGTCGTCGAGTGCACCAGCCAGCTAAATCGAAGGAAGGAGTCCCACTTGATCAAAGTACTATACCTGTGTTCAAGCATGAACTTGCCTTACCCTTTTGTGGAGTTGTCAGGCCCAGAATGAAACCAAGGTTCAGTATCTCAACAAATTGGAAGCATACCAATTCACCAGATCGTTGTCTAATTGCAGACCAAGAGACATAGCCAAAGCCTTCATGTCCCATGGCATCGACAATAACAGTTGCCACGGCTGCCCAGCCTGTGTTGGAAGCACCGTTCCCTTGGAGGTAACCTTGGTTTGGATGGGTATGTCCAGATGGAGTTGTAAAACAAGTCAGAAGTCACCAAATGCAGTTATGATGTAGTGATCCATTTGTTGAATGTTCTTGAGCATGGAAATACAAGGGGTTCTTCTTCGTGTGAGTCCTGGTGAAGTGGGCGTTGTCTTCAAATCATGCCTTGATGAGGCTGTCTACCTTTCTTCTCGAATAGATTGTGTTGCTTGTACCCTGCTATCACCTGTTTGTGGTAGTAAGCAACCACTCGGGGGTCATCCAGCTGGAGGACACTGAGATTCATCTTGTGAAGGTTGGGCAGGGAGTGCCCCAAAGCCGTCTCAAAAGGGATGTCCAGCCAGGCCAGACGATGGTCCCCAGGGAGGCCTTCGCCAAATCCAAGGTATCCGCATCGAATATCAGTGAGATCCAGGGTGGTAAAGATTCCATCGATGGGGGTGTGGGAGCGGTTTCTGTTGTAGGTTGCGGGGACGTCTTGAGTGGGGTGCTTGGAGAGGATAGCTTCCTGGAGGCCCAACTGGAGAAACCCTAATGCCAACTTTCCGAATCTTACATCTTGATTTGCATCCAACATGAGAATGATTTGTATCCTAAAAGCAAACAAAAATATAGAGTTAGCAGCAGTAATAGCCATGGTTGCAATAGCCAACAGACACAAGTCCACACTTACCTGCAAATGTTGCCATTGAGTTTCCTCAGCTCCGCGCCAAGCCAAGTCTCCAACCAGCCTCTCAACGCAGCAGCCGTATTGTCGCGGGTCCTACCTTCCTGCGCAATGAGCTGCTGGAGCTGGTTGTGCTGCGCAATAATCCTTGTCAGAATCTCCTCGTTCGTTCGTACCTGCTGCTGCGTTTGCATAGCCGTCACCTGCCGCGACTCATTGGCAACTTGACGAGTGCTTGCCTGGCCCGTCGTTCCCGTAGTACCACCAGCCGTGCCACCGCCACCTCCAGTATCCATCGGCTCGATTTCGTTGATGTGGAGCTTGGTGTTGTGCGTCCAAATCGAAAGAGGCACTTTCACCACAGGGTTGACGCCCACAGGAAGGTCCGCCTTGATGCGCTCGTACGCATCTTGGATCCTAACACGAACGGGAGGCTCCATCCTCTCCTCCCAAGATTCGTCAAGTGCAGCCCACAAAAGAGGCAGAGCCAAGTGCAGGGAAATGTCGTTGACACCGTCGTAAAACGCATGCGTCCTTGGCACCACATGCTCAAGCAACCAGCCGGGAGTCACTCTCTTGGCGTCCGGGTGTAGCTTGTAGGAGCCCCCATGCAAAGCTTTTCGGCAACACGGGCGTCGATCCAGGGCTGTTCAGGCGAAATGTAGGCATCAACAACCCGTCCAGATAAGCGAGCCTTCCAGCGACCTCGAATGTCAACTTCGTCAGCAGTAGCACCCATTCCTCTTGCCAGAGTTGCAGCAAACTTCCGAATGCTGTGACTCCCAAGAACACAGACAATGAGGACCGCCACAGCCAGAAATGGAGCCGACAAAAAGACAGCCTTGAGAATAGTGCGGTAGGCTGCGTTGCAGTGCTTGGGAGCCAACTTGGGATTGCTTTCGGGAGTAAAGAGGAATGCATTTTCCCGACCAGTGGCGCCATACCCGTAGTTGAAGGACGCCTCCATGTAATTCGCCAATCCGAGCATGGCACAAAAGGCGGTATCCATCGACCCAAGAATGATTTGGTCAGGGCATTGTCGTTCTTCTGAAATATTCTTGGACCAATGCACCTTGCAACTGAGCGCAAAAGGGAAGTCTGGATGCGGCTTGTAGTCGGAATACTTCAACTTGGAGATGTCATCCGTCCTGGTGATGAGATGGACTTGCTGCTTCAACATGCAGGCTGTACGGATGGTCGATTCAAAGCTCCCTTTGCCGTGGACCACCTTGCGATACTCTGTTTCCGTCAAATCCCTGGTGGCACAGGACTTCTTCCCGCGGTGTTGAGTCTCCGCTTTCTTGACTTCCTTGACCACTTCGTTCACAGGATCGGACTTGGTTGGATTGCCGGAGGTTCCATTCCATGTGGCACCTTTGATGGGCATGTAGAAGGAAATAGCCTTCTTGTCTTGCTCAAGAGTAGAGGAGCGGCAAGTTGGATTCTGCTCAAGGTCTTTGAAGTCAACGTCCGTCGTACCATACGCACGCCATTTCAGGTAGTCGGCAACGTGATGTGGTTGGATGCCGCCCTAAGCACTGGGTTAGAAGCGAGCCCCCAAGGTGTACGTCCTCTTGTGCAGCCAGCTCATGAATTTGATGAAGAGTCGATGGTAGTGCCGGTTGTACTTGGGCTGTTCCGTGGGTGCTTCAGGAAGTTCCGGCACGTCTTCCAATCCAAGGGCTCCATCATTGACAGTGGCCATGGTGGAGGAATTGTTTAGTCAACTAAGCAATTGTTGGTTTGGTGGAATTTCGGCAGAGTTTCCTTTACAAAGTAGAAGGGATGAAAATAATGAGGAAAACTGGAGAACTGAACTGAGCTAGCCGTACGGAGACCATCGATCGATCGATCGATGGCGTGGGATTTGCCCGTTGTTTGCCTCTTTACGGCACGGGATCCAATTTTAAAATTGCTTGAGTACCCCCCAACGACGTACGATTCAACGACCGATCAGTACTTGAGTATGCTGGAACCTGCAACAGTACGGTGGATCGTAGAACGATTGGATCACATTGGATACCTTCTGTGTACGGTACTACATTTCTGCAACAGTAGTTGCACAGGGTCAGTATGTGCTTCCCCCTACTACTATGTGGATCTTACATACCCTCAGGATCAATGACAGTATGCTACGTAGAAAGTCTACAGTATCAGTAGTCATTGAAACAAAGATCCTCTCAATAAGACTCTCATTATTAAATAAACTGCAACAGTGAAGATATAACAGGGGCGCATTGCATACATAAGACCAATGCACATACTGAGAGGATTCCAATAATCGCTTAAGTACCACACAACATACCCACCCGATCCCACAAATCCAATGAGATCCGATCCAACCGTTGTAGGTACATACTCAACAAGCCAAAAGATCCAATCGTACGATTGACCGTTGCCAGTGCAGCATACTCAGTGAATCCCGTGCGGTAAAGAGGCAAACAACGGGCATATCCCATGTGAACGATCGATCGTCTCCGTACAGGTAACCAGTTCAGTTTTCCTCACTTTCAGCTCATTATTTTCAATCCTTCTACTTTGTAAAGGAAACTCTGCCGAAATTCCAGCTCAAGCTCAACCAAACCAACAATTG